CAATTTTTAATAATTACATAATGCTCTTAGCAGGAGAGATCAAATGAGGCCTAAAGCTACTTATGCATGATAGCTCGAGTTCCAACCTTACTTTGTTGAAGTCATCATAATAGAATTTCTAAAAGAAATTCCTTTTCTACATGTAGTATTTTAATCATTCTTTGACTCTGTGTAGCATGGCAAAAGCTTGGAACTATGAAAGTATTTTCTAGTAGTTTTAGGCCTCACTAGATTCACATTTTAAACATTAATATGAACTTCTTAGATGGAAATGAAACTTAAAATTACTCTTTTTGTTTAACTGTGTTTCATAATTCATGTCTTACGACCTAGCAACTTTTAAATAAAATGTTTTAAAAAGACCCTAAAATATTAATTCATTTCCAACTAAATTGTAGATAAAGCCGTTATCTAGCGAACTTTTGGATCAAACATCTTGAAGATAAGTCACATTCTTTGATACAATTATTTAACTTATCCAAAACACTTTATACGCTTCCCGACGGTACCGTAGCAACCAAGTTCAAAAAGGCTGTGAAWCGAAGATCGAAGATGAAAACAACCAAAATGCTAACGTGAGAAAAGTTAGTAAGGATAAAAAGCTTTAAATGATTTCCTAAAATACAAGATAATCTATATCTATCTATCGCTTTGAAGTCAACAAACTATGCGCGTACCTTTACACGCAGTGCTCCACACGTGAGCTAAAAGTTTGACGATAAATTTAGAGAATTCTTGACAAAAGTCTAGCCTAAAAGAAAATCTTCCATTCAATATAATATTGAGGAGAGAAATCTTACCTTTAGCGACAATCTGAGAACTTCAAAACTGGGAAACTTCGTAAATGTTTCTGTGCGTGTTGAAGCCAGCTGAGAAGGTATACAATCGTTGGTATGGTAACGCAACGCTGACCATAAATCGCGGGCGTCTCTATTCCCCGATTTGGAAGCGGTGTCACGCAAAAATGCGCCAAATAGCTCTCATTTTTTTCATATTTATCAACTTTTTGTCCTGTTTATGAAGAGAATATTGTATGTAAAGCATTTTCGTATTAGTATGAAGGATTTTAAGGCAAAAGTTGCGTGCTAACTTGCCTGAATGTCATTTAAAGACTTCCAACTCAGAAACATGGAGCCGTTGACTTGGTACCAAATCGCCGCTAGCTGCACGGCAGAGCACAAGGTTTGTATCGTTTGTATATGCTTAGCTTCTTTATAACTTCATCTAAATTGCGTCCCATTTCTTCTGTTTTCTTCACGAAGCTCTATCGAATTTCGGCAAATTGTCGGCCTCCACGAGCCTTCCACCCTATCTGCAAGGGAACTCTGAGGTTGTTCTGTTCTTGGGCTTCCTGTGGAAGCGCGGGACTGGTACCTATTGGGGAAATGGGAATCATCCTGCCCACGCCCTATCTTGGCGCATTGCCTACTAAAGAGGCAATAATGAAAATTATAAAGGAGTAATTATAACAACATCATAAGCTTAGAGTCATTTGAAAGAAAAAAATGTTGGATGCAGATAAAA